CTTGTGCTCACCAAACAGATGGCTCTGAGTAATAGAATGCAGACAATAAGAATTTCCTAGGCTTTTAAGGAGTTTGTAAAAACAACGTTTCTAAGGTAATTCCAAGAAGAGTATTTTGTGGGTAAAGGCCATGACTGAATTATAGTAATATTTTATAGTAGCATCTACTTAGAGAAGTTCTGTGTCATTAATGATGAACTGAATGCAGCTATTTTTAGAAGAACAAAAGCTTAGTTTATTGCTCTCTGACGATGGAAGTAAAGTAACAGAGGTGCCAGAATCAAAACCTAACTTTTCCTCCACAGAAATGATATATTAAATCATAATTTACATGCAGAAAATACAGCACGCTCTTACATGCAGGAGCAAGGTGTATGTGTTTCTTGGGTGCACAACCATCAGGAAGTATCTCTACAATTCCTCTGATTAGGCTCGAGGTTAGGAAGTGGGAATGGGGTGGGCCTCCATTAGCATCCATCTGTTCAGAGCAGAAACCAAAGTGACGCTATTGGGCTTGAGTGGCTCACAAAAGGAGTGCGCTTGGATCCCAGAAGACTTTTTTATGAGGAAGTCTTTTTATTGTTTATTTGCATCTCATTGATCTCTTCTCTCCTTGAGAAAGAGGATGAGAATGAACAGAGAAAAGCAGTGTTGCCTCTTGGGGTTTATTTGGTTGAAATGAACCTGCTAATTCCTGCTTCTCCAGTGGCCACACTCCCTACCCGCCTCCAGGCTGGCACATAGGATATGTCCGTGCGTGTGTGGTTTTGTGCAAGGGGCTAGGGTTTGTTGTCTTTTTCACTAAATTCCCCGGGGCTTAGAACAGGACCTGACACATGGCAGGCCTTCAGTAGATATTTGCTAAAGGAATTTATAGAGTTAGCTGGAAACTTAAGTATTTATACATTTCTGTTTGCTTAAAGTATTTCCTTTTCTTCGCCCCAGAAGATATACCTATATTACCCTTGTAAGCCAGATTTTATAACATTTTACCTATCTGGGTGTAGGGAGAGTGGTAGGAAGAATTTTTTTTTTTTTTTTTTTTAATCACACTCACAGCTACTCTATTGAATTTGCAAACAGAAAACCTTGTTCTGCCAAAGGTTGATTATCACAGTAAGTAACTGTGACCTTTGCTTTTCACGCCCTTGCTTTTTTTACTGCTGTCTCTGGGTTCTTTTGTTGATTTCGATCCCTTCTAAGTGAGAGTAGTCAAAGAGAGGGGAAAGATAAAAGGGAAATCAGAAAATTATTTTGGGCAGCTTGAGAGAGAGAAGTGAAAACCAAGATAATAGGACCAAAAGATTTATTTCTTCATCTGCAGACCTCTCTTTGCTTAAAATGATCTAATGCAATCCGTGTAAAAAGACATGAACTATAAAAACGATGCATCCATTTTGGAATAAAGTGGGGTACTGAAAGATGAAATAGACTTAAGCAGCCCCAACAAGAGGGTGCAGGGAGGCGGCTCTGCCCTTCCTTTGATGTGATATAACATGTGTTTGTTTCTTAGCTTGACGTCCACGACAAGGTCAAGTTCTGACGCTCTTCAAGGCCGATATGCAGCCCCTGAACTGGAAGTAAGTTCATTTCCTCCCCTTGTTCTGCTTCATCTCAGAAGACCTATTTTCCAGGAAGGCTCTTTACGTGTTTTTGCATCTTTATTGATTGGCATTCCACGATCCCATTTTTCTCCTCGAAGAAGAATACCATATTTTTGTACAGAAAAAAACAATGCCTTGTAGATACTATGGGGATTCAAATGTACCTTTGATTTTCCTCCAACGAAATTAGCCTCTGCTGGGCCTTGCTGCCCATCTCCACCAGAGGCCCGGGTAGCTTGGTCCGTCTGCTCTCTGCTCTTTTCCTCTGTCATAATGGAATGTGTGTGAGTTTTGTTTTGTTTGGTTTTGTTTTAACTTCTAGTGCATTCCTCTGACACATACCTGTCTTTGTCCTCCGTATATAGCATGACCATGAGGTTATATGTAATAGCTGTTTGAAGAAGGAGAAAAAGACGGAGAAGGGAAGGAACCAGCATCTGCTCCATGCCACACTGCTGAGCAGTGTCGGTGCATGAGCTTATTTAACTGTGTCCATTCCTTCACCGCGTAAAGAATTGTGAACAGTAGGTGTCCAGAGAATCAGGGTGGTGAACAGATGCCTATCAGTCAGCAGAATGCCTGTTATTTCCTTATTTGTGCAAAAGTCTTTTGCTGGGGCCCTCTGGAACATCCACTAAGGTCAGGAAAGTTCTAATCGCATGGAGGCAGCCAGGAAAAGACTCAACCCTGAGCCCAGGAATGGAACAGGAGGTTTCAATGATGGCTGAGACTTACAGCACTTGCTATATGCCAGGCACTATTCTAAGCACTACATTTGTGATTTCATTTAATCCTCCTAAAAACCCAGTAAGGGTTTGATCTCTGTTTTACAGAGGGGAAAAAGCAGAAGTTATTTAAACTTTTGATTGGCTGGCATGTAAACCGTGCGCTCTGGCTCCAAAGTCTGTGTTCCTGAATGCCCCTGCCCGAGAGCTTGGCTCCTGGCTCCTGACCCTGCTGCCAGCCCTGCCTGACACGGGCCCCAGACAGTATCCTGATAGCTTTCCCTGGATGGAAGAGCCCTGGTGTCTCTCCAGATACGGGCACTCTTCTGTGCAGCTGGGTCTCTGGGGAGGGTCTTTCCTGCACCTGACCTGGAGATAGTGAACATTATGAAGGGTTGTCAGTCTGCCAGCAGCATTCAGCAGCTCTGTCACTTGAAAAAGGAGAAATCTGTGCTGAGTCTGAATAGGTTACTGCTTATTACACAGAAAAGAATGGTCTCTAGAAGGCAGGCGTTTGTTCTCACCACTGGCTGGGTGACCACCTGCTGCGGTTGTGCCGCTGTGGCTTCAATGTCCCGATTGTGTAGAGCGTAAGCTCAAAGAACAGCAAGTCTCTAAGTTAGATTTAAGAGGATGTTTTCCTTCTCATTCTAAGGAAAGTGTCCCAGTGTTTCCTTCTGAACTGAAGAACATGCAAAACGGAAGTTGGTTTGCTCTCCTTCTATCCCGTTTCACAGGATACACCTTTGAAAGAGAGAGTTGGTAGTTTCTTATGCTAAATGAAGCTTCAGAAGAACTAGGACCCCAGGGCACCATGTCTTGAGCCCACTGAATGATTAGACTGTGTAACTTGATCCAAGATTCTGTCAAGGCCAATCCCTTTATTAGAAGTTTCCCTGATGTAGTAGGGAAACAGGGGCTTGGCCTTGAAGTATATAAAAGAGACAAAGGCTCAAGCACCTATGTCCTTATCCCTGGCTCTCTGTTCTTTCTAGTAAAAACATGGTCAGCCAGGAAGTGCCAAGGACCCAGCATTTCCCACCTTGTCTTGGTACATGTAATGTTTTTTACCTCGTTTACTAGAGTCCTTCTGCAATCATGTAGTAATTTTTCATAATCCAATTTTTTTTACTAGTTTCTTGTTTTGAGTAGGTCATGAACATGGTACCACATTTAAAAGGTGCCAAAGAGTCTTCAAAGGAAAGCATCCCATCCATCCCGGTCCCTGGCTCCCCTGTCTCCATAGAGGCAGACAGTTGAGCAGCCTGATTTCATAGGAAATGGAGGTGGGCCTCCTGCTTCCAGACCTCATAGCCTTAACCATTTCTGATTCTGCCAGCTCCACCGTCTCCTACATTTCACATGCTACCTGTTGCCTTTTGTGAATTGCGGGCCTTGGATTTCCCATCCTGCATTTATATCCCAGCTCTGTGACTAAACTAGTTTTGTAACTTCAGGCCAGTTATTCACCCTGCCTGACCTCAGTTTCCTTACCTGCAAACGGGATAATAATCCTAGCAAGGAGAGCAAATCATCACCAGGAGTGAGCTGGTGAGAATCTGTCTCATTCACCTTGTGATTCAGGTTGAGTTTTCCAGAAGCAGCTGCCAAGGCAGAGTTGATGTGCAGTGTGTCTGTTAGTGATCAACACATGTGGAAGGAAGGAAGAGGAAGGAAGCAGAATTGGGCAGAGGGTGAAGTCGAAGGGCACCGGAGGCCGGACAAAGCCACTGTTGACTGTTTTGGTGCTCCAGAGCAGATAGGACCCATCAGAGCTGTACCCAAGGGTCAATGGCTGTGCCTTTACACCCCTGCCATGTGCAGTCATTTAATGTAGCAAAAAAGCTTGCTGTAGGGCAGAGTAATGCTCTGTGGCTGAGCCAAAGCCTAGGAGCTGCCATCCAGAGGATGCTCACAGCATTCTAAGTAGCTGAGCAATCACTAAGTGAATACCTTTGAGGGGCTGTGCGTGGCTCAACCCATGTGTGTTGTGTTTCCTATCACCAGCACAAGAGCACTTGGGAAGAACAGATGCTTAATCAAATCCTTTGGAAGGGAAACAATGTGCGCAGTTCAGAGCCTGGGATACAGTTCCCACGGGAAGGCTTGGCATGTCACACAGACGGCCATTAGTACTTTACTGATGTGGAGGTAGAAAAGTGGGATGCAAGCCACCTGACTCTGTTGGGTTTGTTCTTCCAGGTGGCTCGCTGTTGTTTTTGCTTCGGCCCCGATGGAGAGGGTGAGTAGAGAACTTCCCCTTCCTTTCAGCCTTGTGGTGCTGCGGACCTGTGGCACTAGGCTGTAGGAGTAGATATTTGGGATTCAAGCAAAATTACTTGAATGGTAAGAGGAGATTCTTACTCCAAAGCTGGTTTACTGTTGATATACTTTCCATATTCTTCCTGGTTACTGGGTCTTATTTGTGTTCGTATTCTAGCAGGCAGGAATCAGTTTATGTTTTGGTTCACATGTAAGTTAAATTATACAGAGAGACTTAGAGAAGGAGGAAGTACATTTTTCAAAGGAATGAACATTTGTATCGGAGCATCCCAGGGGCTTGAGAACCCCTGGTGTGCTCCCTCACTGTCATCTGAGCTTATCATAAGTTCACGTTTGGAAGGGCTCTCTTCTGCTCTGTTCAAGTGAATGTGATGTTAGGTAACTCATCCTGTGGAGGACGGTTCTAGAGTCGGGGTGGGGGTTGTGCTTAGGGTGTAGATGTGGATAAAGATGGCTTTCGACATCTTCCCTACTCAAGAGCCCCTGGGATTGAAGTTAGTGAGTGTGGCTTTGCTGACGTGGCAGGCGTGCATGTGTTCACTCTATGAGCTTGCACTCGCTCTGTCGTTCACAGACACTGAAGAGCAGCAGAACGTGAAGGAGGGACCACGGGTCATTTATGATGAGAAGAGAGGCACCGTCTATAGCTATTCCTATTTCCACTTCGTGTTCTTTTTGGCTTCCCTCTATGTGATGATGACGGTCACCAGCTGGTTCAAGTGAGTGTGACCCCTTGTCTTAGACCGTTTAGAAGGGATGATCTTTAGAAAACCAAGTGAAGTCTTATTCTTTAAGTGCTGAGGCCCACTGAGTCACAGACCTGATCTCCTACAGTTGGCTTAACTCTTCTCCAAGTCCTGCTGTGCTCACCTACACAGAAACAGTGCTGGGGTCTCAACAGTCTGTGGTTATGCTCTTAATTAACCCTTGGAATTGACGATGCTCCCTGCAGCTTTAAGAAAATAAAAGGTTGGGGCACTTGGCTGGCTCTGTCAGTGGAGCATGTAACTCTTGATCTCAGGGTTGTAAATGCAAGCCCCATGTTGGGTGTGGGGATTACTTAAAAATAAAACCTTAAAAAAAAAAGAAAGAGAAGGAGATGTTAACCGCATATGGGCAGTCTTGAGGAACACAGTAATAGTAATGGAGGAAGAACTTGGAATTCTATTTCTGTGTTTTTAAAAATTTTTAAGTGTTTATTTTTGAGAGAAAGAGAGAGACAGAGCATGAGCAGGGG